GCTAGTACTGAAGTTCTTGCATTAAGTGAAGCAATTATTCCTGCCTTTGCTATTGAAACAGTCTGTTGTTCCATGACCTAAAAACAATTGGTGAAGTCATAACATTTCTTTCCTCAATCCCGAAAAAAATAATAGGTTAGATGCTAACCTCATGCAACATGCTCCTTGCATTGTCAGACATCTTGTCAAATTCATCGATACAGCATATTCCTCTGTCGCTTAAAACTAGTGCACCACTTTCCAGAACCTAGAGAATTCAGTTGAGTCAAGTCCATGGCTCAAATGTTGTACTAAAAACAGGTCTTTTTCATTAAAAATAGAAATCCAACAACAACAAAGCCTTATCCCAGTACGTGGAATAAGGCTAGGGGAAATAAATATTTTAATCTCATACAGTTTCTCCAGTTTCAGGATCTTTGGCAACATAGGCAGTCAGCCCAACAGCAGAACTTCCTCGCCCACTTGTATAAATGCCACGGGGTGAAAGCTTGTGAATGTATTGCAGGAGCTGGGATTTACTAGTCCCAGGATCACCGACAAGAAGAACATTAATATCTCCTCTAAAGCTTGCACCGGATGCCAATTTCAATGCATTGCCCCCAAAAAGCTAAATGAAGCCACTTATAATGTTAGCATCACCATAGTAGATCCAAATAACTCATATTGCATTTTCCAAGATGTTTTATCAAATGACAAATACAATACAATACAAGTCAAAAATAATAAAAAAACAAATTAGTAGGGTATATATTACTTGGCAAAGAAGGCCTTTCTTCACATCATCCAACTCCCATATATTTGGGGCCAAGGATCTAGTTAACCTTTCATATATATCAGGCTGCTTAGACAAGTTCTTCAACTGCTCGATCTGATATCAAGTACACTATAAGCAAGCAAGATGTATCATAGTTCTTGAGTTCTTCACTAGGAAGTAATATAAGTCACCTTTGTTTTAGAGTCAACAAAAGGGTCATCCTCATCCCTGCTCATGCCTTTTTCAGTTTCCATAAGATCTTCCAGATTCATCCTTGACTTATCAGTCTTCTTCAAATGAATACACTCAAGGTAAGTCTGAAAATAACAACTTCCATTTCAGAATACAGGCACATACTCTCTACATTGAATTCATAACAGAGAAGCAAAGTTGTGGCTCCAAAACAAAATCATTAAAGATATGGCTGCAAGAAGTAGCACAGCTTACCTTGAAAAGTGATTTGACAGTCCGTTGTGTAGGTCCAATTCTAACACTCATAGCACGGTAAGTACCAGTGATCTAAGTGTAAGAGCACCATCTTAGGTCACAAACCAATAGTAGAAAAAGCTATACTAAACAACAATTTCAGGAAAAAGTGAGTGATTGAATTACAACTCACCTCAACTCTGTCACCAGGTTTCCCAGAATCCACCAACTTATCATGCATCAGCAAGCTCACTGTGTGAGGTGTTCCACCATCCGGAATATCATCTGGTGTTTCTTGAAGTCTCACTATCTGTTTATCAATAAACCTGAGGCCCCGGTGGAGTACCCAAACAATTCCAAATTACTTATTTACATTTCATACTCAATTCACCACACAATTACAGAAATAACATAATCAAGAGAACAGTTGATACATTCATTACCTGCACCTGTTGTGAACCAAAGTCATTGAGTTTCTAGCAAGGCATTCTTGCTTCTCACAGCGTGTGGGGTCACTAATTCTCCCTGAAAACACAGATTGATCTTTAAATCAAGAAATCTAATTCCCAACCACAGACACTCACATAGTATGCAGTGCACCAGCTACTTACCTCTCTCAACAACAATGGGTTCAGAGTAATATCCACAGACAAGGCAGCGAAATATTGCTTCCCGGATCTCAGGTATAATTGAACTACATCTTATAATCATTCCTTTAACAGAAACCAACTTTTCAATGTCTGAAAAGATTAAACATATGGCGTATTAGTTTGAAGAATATACATCAACACAAGAAAAGAGAACATTTTGAAGAGAGGGAAGAGCGGCTGAAGTAAGCATGTCCAACAGATGATGTGACTGACCAGATGGATTGAGATTTCTCATGGAAACGGATTCTTTGAGATTAAAAATTCGGGTTTGAATGTGCTTTTCAAACAATGGATTAATTCTGCTGACCATATCCATCAAAACAATGTCAAAAATGGCTAGAACCTCAAGTGGGTATCTAACCACTTTGTTATACAAATCACTGTCAAAGTCAAACACATCGTGTGCATCAAGCTCAAGTGATTCACCTTCCATCTCTATTACATGGCGAATTGACACCTCGTATTTCCCGTCAACCTGAGAAGAATCTTCACGGAAATGCCTTAGAAACCTCAGAATTGCAGCACTCACATCATCAACTACAATATTTGTGCCCCAAACATACGTTGGTGGGGCGTCATATCCACCATCTGAAGATGGGGAAGGCGCAAGGGAGGCATCACTTACACCCCGTCTGCCACCAATGGACGAAGAAGGTGTGGCCGTAGGACCAGACGAAGAGAACTTTCTTCCTCTTGGATTTCTACTTGACGGAGAAGGAGTGGAATCGGAAGTGGAAAATCGAGGGTTAGCAGATGCAGGTGGCGTAGCCATGGAGGAAGAGGGCCGCTCGCGCTTCCGGCGACTGGTGTTGGCAGGCGATGAGAATGTGTTTCCAATTGGGCTCGAATGCGAGTCATAAGGTGAAGTGGGATCTGTAATTCACAGGCACCATTTCAAATTTTAAGGGGAAACTTAAGCTAATCAGAGTCGTAAAAGCATATATGACATTCAAAATAGATTATCTCGAGAATCCAATAACGCGATGACCTTCCTTACCGTCGTTGATGTCCGCCTGAGATGAATCGGAAGCCATGACAGTAGCACAGGAATCCTCGTAAGACAGCCGCGAGAGGGAGAGGGTATGCTCTTGGCCGGCAACTCGGCCGACTATGGTGGGTGAGGTTAGAGGTCTTTTTGGCGGGAAAGGTAGAGTTACATCGGGCGCCAAATTGCTTGGTGGAGCTAACTAGGGCATCCGATCCAAATAGAAATATACTTTGGGCCGATTTATCAGCTGTTTTGGTCATTTTTTGGAACTATCATTAAAAAAGTATTTCAAGTTGTAGATCAATTTGCACACTCAACTAAATACAAACATAGACATATTTTTGTGCCCCACACAAACATATACCGAGTACTTCTTAAGTATTTACAACATTTCGAGGAATGTACAGCACGTCATTTCTTTTAAAATTATTTTATTTACGTATTGGTAAAGAAATAAAAAGTAAAAATTACACCGTTCAAGAGTACAACAAAAATTCTACAAAATAAGATGGGATAATAAAATTTTATTATATCAAATGATCAAGTAAAATGAGTAAACAAACAAAAGTTATCGAAAGACCAAAATACTAAGTGTAACATTCTTTTTTGGGACGGATGGAACATATTTGGATTTGTCTTTTTTGTGACATCTAAATATTATTGAAACCTAAGTGCAAAAAATTACAAGCATAAATAGGCATACCGAGTCAACAACAAACATATGCACGAATACCTTATAACATAGGTCAGCCACACATGTATGAGGTGACAAATCATGAAACCAAGGCTCACAAGCTAGCAACATAACAAAGGCATGCAGGTAGGGCTGTGCATTAACAGGTCCAGACTGGAATTTAGATCTGAACCGGACCGGAATAGACCGGTCCGGACGTGTCCGGAATTTTCAGGTCCGGTCTCCGGTCTTCAAAAATTTAGAATTCCGAGTTCCGGTCTGGTCTGGTCTAAACCCGGAACTATCCGGTCCGAACCGGTATATAATAAAATATTAATTTTTTTAAATAATCTAATAAATCTAAGCCCAGAATGTAATAGCCTAAAGCCTAATAGTTAATTCATTAGACCATTATCCTTTCAAATTTCTTCTTTTTGCAGTTCTCTTAGGCTCCTAGCATGATATGTTACTTAATTTCAATTTTTACTTTAAGCATTTTTTATTGATTTTTTTCTTTGAAGTTTGAACTTTGGTTTGAGATTTTTTTCATGGATTTTGTAGTATTATGAACTTATGAATTTAACAATTGTCCTTCCTAGTGAATTGTTATTGTTATGAATTTGAGGATTGATGGTATTATATATATATATATATATATATATATATATATATGTATATGTATGTATGTATGTATTTCTGTGTGTGTGTGTGTGTATTTACATATACAATTTAGATATGAATTTTTTATAATGAAAATTAGGTCATTTATGTTTAAAATCCGGTCCATAAACCCGGACCGGACCGGAAAATTCAGCTCCGGACCGATCCGAACCGATATCTAACATGTCTGGTTTTCGGTCCTTGCAAATAGAGGATTCCGGTTTCGGTCCATTCCGTTTCCGGTTCGGTCCGGTTTTGGACCGGTGCACATCCCTACATGCAGGTCGAGACCAAACATAAACACAATATCCAAAACCAAAACACAGCGCCCAAAACATAAGCACAATATTTAAAATTAAACCACGGTCCTCACAAGCACAAGCAGCAACGAAAACACCAAATATCACCCAATACTGGTAGTACCGAACTTAGGAACCATGCAAAGGTATTGACTGTCATAGATGTAAAATAAGTCATGCTAGAAACTCGTCACAGATTTGGTTACAGATGACAATATTTATAAATTGTACACGCAAAGTTGATAAACGTACATTTGAACTAATTTTTGCTGAAATTATGGATTTGCAGCCAAGTTTATTTCTTTCAACTTTTTCATTGATTTAGAGTTTGTTCTCTTCAACTTATTCTTATTACTTATTACTTTTTCTTATTCTTATTACTTATTACTTTTTCTTATTCGAATCGGTTTGGTTCAGATCATACCAGACAAGATCAAAAACAAATTATAATATAACTACATTTTGATCAGATTAGACCAGGTCAGAATAGAACTTATTCGAATCAAATCAGAATCATTCAGATTGGATGGAGAGAACAAGCGTAGTATTCAAAAGTGCAATCGGTTTACTGAAATAATTCGACACAAAGAATTTGAAGCGAAACAATAAGAATATTGAAATTTGCATTACATTTTCAGAAGTACCTGAAGCAAGTCAATAACTGGATTCAATAAATACATAAGCAACACTGAAATGATAACATGCGTGAGCATCAGGGATATGATGAAACGACCATTTAGTTGAAAGGTGAAAAAACAATTAACAAAAAGATTGGCAGCCCATATGTTGGATATAAAAAGATGGCTCTTCTTCGTCCACATAAGTAATCTTTTCTATGTTGAGACTGATAGTTTCTATGGGCTGAAAAGAAGTGGATGAAGTTATCATACTTAAGTGTGGTTACTGTGAAATCTGTTTGTACACGGCGCTTCCTTATTCGTCTTTGGGTGCCTGCAACTGCCTCCTCACCAGTGCTGTATAAATGCCATCCTTGCTGAGAAGTTCGTCATGAGTGCCACTCTCAACTATCTGCCCGCCAGAGATCACTGCTACAGTGTTTGCGCTTTTCACCGTGGAAAGCCTATGAGCTATGACAAGTACAGTCCTCCCTTTCATCAGAGAATCCATGGCATCCTGCATGAAACCCAATGATTATTCATGCATCTCCAAGGAAATATTAGTCTATATATATAATTTGGGGGGGGGGGACTATATATACCTACCTGAACAAGATATTCACTTTCTGCGTCAAGTGCGCTTGTAGCCTCATCCAGAAGTAGAACCCTTGGATTCATCAGCAGAGATCTAGCAATTGCTATTCTCTGTTTCTGGCCTCCTGAAAGCCTTAACCCACGTTCTCCCACATATGTTTGGTATTTCTCAGGAAAATTTGATATGAACTCGTGAGCGTTTGCCATTTTCTGTTTGCAAGCAATGAATGTTAAAAAAACAAAGCTACATACAAACAGGAGTTCTAGGGGGATTTTTTTTTTGACATTTTAAAGTAACAATCCTAGGTTGTCATCTACACACACACAAGTCATTATAATATTAGGCTCCACTTTAAGCTAAAAGTCCACAAATTGAGAGCCACATAAGAATTTCACTCAAACCGTCAGCAAAAATGTTACCTTAAAATCATTCATGTCTAAATAGTACTCCCTCTCGGGAATTCGTAGTTTCCCACTCTTAAAAAATCTCATTTTGAAGAAATGAGTTTAAACTTTAAAATGACAAGAATTCCTTCGTATAAGTTTGTCACTCATTCATGTATACAATGCTCATGCTCTATCATTAGGATATTTTAGACAATTTATCATAACTTCTTTATTGAATATAGAAGTGGACATCTAATTCCGGACAAATGAAAACTAGACAGTGGACAACTAAATCCGGAAGGAGGAAGCAATATGGATAAGTGGGATTGAACATACAGCTGCATTTTCTATATCGCTCATGCTTGCTTTGCCACCCAAGCCATATGCAATGTTCTCTTCTATGGAACAATTGAAAAGAACAGGTTCCTGGCTCACTATGCTGACCTGCGATTTTGAAGTGGCATTTAAGCAATGCCAAAAAAAAATCTCGAGGATGGCTTGAAAGTTTCCACTAGACTGTAGGAGTTCACAAATAAAGAACACCAAGTTTTCTTTAAGGTCGTGTTGTAGGACAATAAATACCTTTTGGTGTAAATGTTGATGAGAAATTTCTAGCAAAGAAACCCCGTTGAGCAAGATCTTTCCTTGGATGGGATCATAAAACCTCTCAATCAAGTTAGCTATTGTAGTCTGCAGCAAAAGAAGTGTCAAGTCTACCCTCTTGTGACAGCTCTTTCTGTGTTATTATGATTTAACAGGCAGATGCTTGTGCCAATATGTTACATGCTCTGCATAGGCATGACAGTGACACTGGGATAAAAAAAATGGGTAAAAGATTACCTTGCCTCCGCCACTTGGACCAACCAGTGCAACCTTTGACCCAGGTTGTAGTTTCAATGTAATACCCTAAAAGTATAGTATGTCTAAAGTTTAAACTGCAGTGAGCATAATCATCACATGGATATAAAATATGACAAGGAATTTGTGTTACCTTGAGGACCATATGATTGGGGCGGGATGGATAAGCAAACCAAACATTATCTAATTCTACCTCCGCATCTTGACCCCTGTGACAAACGAGAATCCATCAAAGTATTGAACATCAAGAGCCTGAAGATTTGGCTATAGCCGCTCGTGATGGTCAATAAACATTAATGTGTGCAAATGCTTGGCTATAAACCCTCAACTAATAATATGTCCGTTCTGGATGAATAACAATATTTAATGAAAACATATTGCACAACAGAAAATAACTTGGGAATAGCTAAAGTAAATATTACTATGGAACTTAGTAACTTGGTTTCTGTTGAAAATTTGGAAAAAATAAGAGTAGAATCTGTATGCATAAAGAGCTCAAAATGCATAGGTGCACAGGTAATCAAATGTAGTAGAGTGGAGGACAACTATTATTCCCACACTTGTTCTGTACACAGAGACTTCCGGGAGAGGAACATTCTCCGTGATATTTAAAAGTTCCTAGAGAAATAAGGATAACTTATCCTAGTCACACGAATATTCTAGATAACTCATCACCCACCACTCAAGCTAGAGTGCGCAGACACATACACACTGATTTTATATTTGTTAGATTTAATCATATTGTTTAATTCCTGGTCAGAAGTTAGTTAGTTTTGATTTAAATTTTAAAAATAAAAGGGATAGTTATGGGTAGTTATTTCTGGAAGTTATAGGTAGTTATTTCTGGAAGTTGCATTAGCTAGTAATAGAGATGTGTTGATTAGTACTAATAGTTGTGTTGGTTGTTGTCTATAAATATTCTAGGAACATAGAATTCTTGTATGTAGTTCACAATAAAAAAGCACAATTCTATTCTGCATTTGATCTGTTCTTCCTAGCATTTTTCAAACAATTGGTATCGGAGCGGTCCGATTTACGATCAGAGGGTGCGCGATCAGCGGCAAGAAAAGGGAGATATGCCAAATCGTATAACACAGCATTAGAGACTTCCTTGACAACAGATCAAAAACCTTCGACAAGATTCTTCCTCGCCTAGGACAAGAATAGCAAGTGGCTAGCTTTTTCCTTTGGCAGAAGTTCCAACCAAACAGTGCGGCAAAAACAAATCAACGGGGTAGCTTTAGTTTAGTGGCTTGGAAGACGGAAAAGCAAGGGCTTGTTTTCTGGTTGATGGTCGATTGCAGGAAGGAATCAAAGTCTAAGAATTTTGTGAAAATTGTCAAAGGAATTAAAGTCGTGCAATGGAAGACAACAGACAGATTGTAACTACAAGGGAAAATAGTTCACTATCTTTTAAGGTTCCAATTCTAACGGCTACAAACTACACTATTTGGGCCGTGAAGATCAAAGCAATTTTTAATGTTAATGGGATTTGGGAGGTGATCGAACTAGGAACAGAAATCGATCCAAAGAAGAACAATATGGCAATAGCATATCTGTTTCAAGCTTTACCAGAAGAGATCGTGCTACAAGTTGCTCAGTTTACTGAAGCAAAAAAAATTTGGGATGCTTTGAAGACTCGCTACGTTGGTGTTGACGGGGTTAAAGCAGCGCGATTACAAACACTTGAATCAGATTTTGAGACTCCCAACGTTGGGTCTGCATTTGAAGACAAAAGATTGGTTCGAAAGCTTTTGGGTTCTGTGTCTGAAAAGTTCATATAGATCGTTGCTGCAATTGAACAGTTTGCTGACATTAACACAATGCCGTTTCAAGGAGCGGTTGGAAGATTGAAAGCATTCGAGGAACGCATCAGAAAGCAAGTCAACTGAGGAAGGAGATACGCATGGTAAACTACTATTCACTAAAGGTGATGGAAAACAGAAGGTTCAGGAGCACAAACGTGAGCATTGTGGTTGCTGGAGCTCAAACTAAGAAGACTTTGGATGTGGCCGAGGTAGAGGTCGGGGGTCCGGGAAATGTCAGGATGGTGGTCAGTTTCAGTGGGATAAGAGTCACATTAAGTGTTTCAAGTGCAATTAGTTAGGACATTTTTTGAACGAATGTCCAAAATGGGATCAAAAGGAAGACATTGCAAATTTGATTGAAGATGATGATGAACCAACATTATTGTGAAGATTGGGGTGGACAAACAACGATTAGGGGGGTGATTGTTAGATTTAATCGTATTGCTTAATTCGTGGTCAGAAGTTAGTTAGTTTAGATTTAAATTTTAAAAATAAAAGGGACAGTTATGGATAGTTATTTCTGGAAGTTATAGGTAGTTATTTCTGGAAGTTGTATTAGTTAGTAATAGATGTGTTGATTAGTACCAATAGTTGTGTTGGTTGTTGTCTATAAATATTCCAAGAACATAGAATTACTGTGTGTAGTTCACAATAAAAAATCACAATTCTATTCTGCATTTGATCTGTTCTTCCTATCATTTTTCTAACAATACATATATATATATGTGTGTGTGTGTGTGTAAGTATATATATGTATGTATATATAGACATACACACACACACACACATAAAGTAGATTAAAGAGATAATGTATATGTGGTGGGGTAAAGACCGAGAAGTCAATATGCCAAAATATGAGGCACACGGAAGAAAAATAGAACAAAGAGGAAAACAAAAAGAGAACTAGTGGATGAGCACCCACTTCAGCCTCAGCTCCTATGCCTCCACTCTACTGAACTAACTCCTAACTTTCTTCCTTCCTCAGATCCAGGATTGCAGCACAAAAGACACTCCCATGATAATGCTATCTGCCTCCACCTTTTTGCCTTCATGCCTCACTAGATTTTGCTGTTTCAAAAGAGTCCAGGGTATCCAACTAGGAAAAACTAGTCTCGGCATTCCCTTAAGCATCTTATTATCATGAGTACACCATTCAATTAGATGCTAAGTAATAGAGATGTTAGCCCTCAGTTTTGGGCCTGAAAGAGGAATCTCAAAATGTTTCCAGACCTTCTTTGACACTGGGCAGTTTAGAAGTATATGATGATCAGATCCATCATTGCTGCAACAAAGTGTACAAGGTTGCTGTGAGTAAGTGAAATCTGTCCATGTTGGAGAAAGGAAGGATATGGCTAAGACATTTGCAGGTGAAAAGTTGCACTTTAGGAATCTGCAGCTTGCTCCAAGTTAAAGTGAATGAAAGGAAGTGGTTCTCATATGATGTGAGCGCATTATAAGCCTTCATGAAGCTAAATTCCCCATCCTCCCAAAAAACTCTCCCTTGATCTGTAACAGTGTGTTTACTAGCAATTGGGTGAATGTGACACATTCTCTTCCAGCAAGGGGAGTCTATAACCTTTGCTGAGTAATCTCCCCTTCTCCTATATCTAGCTTGCATTAACTGTTAGCAAAGGGATCCTCCTTGATTGTATTTTCACCAAGGTTTTAGTGAGAATGCCTTTTGAATGTCTGCCATGTCTCGAAGGCCAAGGCCTCCACACTTCATGTCCTTACAAAGGTTACTCCACTTCACCCAATGATATTTGTTCTTTCCATCCTTACTTCCGCAGAACAAGTTAGCAATCATTGCCTGGATGATTCTGATGATGCTGAGTGGCAAAACTTGGACAGCCATGATGTACATAGGGATACATGACAGCACATATTACGCAATCAGCACCTGTATAGCCAACTATGTCAGTTGTATGGTGTTTTTCGTATAACTAGCCACTCCATGGACACCTTTTAATATGTCTCAGAATTCTATCAAGAGTCTCACAATGGCTTTCTCGTGTGACATCAAGAATTGACTCACCACACTAGTGGCATATGATATATAAAGACAGGAACTGGCAATCTGGCAGACACAACAGTTTCATAACCAATCTCCAATATCAACGAGGATCCATGAATAGCTTTCCTTGGTGTTATAAGAATTTAATATTCGAATCCATGGATGCCTACTGGTTTACAATATCAGTTTCTCATTTCCTTTAGTATGTTCAGAGCATACTTTTGAACTTGTGCAACTTCTACACCCAAGAAATAGTTTTGCTTGCCAAGATCTTTGGTTTCATGATTGTTTTTAAACATGAAGTGTTTTAACTTTGCAATAACATCATTATCTCCTCGTAATACAATGTTATCAACACATACAACCAGTTAAAAGCTCTTAACATCTTGATGTCAAAATTCTAAAGAAAACAATGCAATTAAATTTAATCTGGGTAAGACCAAAGCTTATGATTGAACTCAATCTCCCAAACCAAAGATGTGGAGAACGGAGACTGCTCAAGTCCATACAGATATTTCTTGAGCTTGCACACACTGCCTCCCGGCAACAAATCGAGGTTGTTCTACGTAAACTTCTTTGTATAGGACTTCATGTAAAATGCATTCTTGAGGCCATTGTCGTACTGATCCCATACACAAGAAAGCTCAAATGGATGCAAATTTTTAGAGAATGTATAATATAAATATACAATCAATACAAAACAACTGTATAAACACCATCCATAGCCTAGGAACCTGGCTTTAAGATGATAAATATGTCCATTTGACGTATCTTTTCCTGTATAGTACTTTACTATTTTTTATCAGTTATTTTTACTTGGTACTATAGGAGAGGTATTTTATCAGGTCTACCCTATCCGATTTCCAAACACTGGTTTCAAATGTTTGAAACATAGTGATAAGATCCAATGGACATAAGATATGGCCATACGGGTCTGGAACAAAAAAACACTAGCAGATCCAAATATTTAGAGACTAGAACACTACATTCCGGACCGTACTCGACCCAGTGATAGAACTAGATAACTCAACATACAAAATGAGCTTTACATTTTTTGTTTCTTTTTATTAGGAAACAATATCCACTTTCAGCTTGTAGTTTGGTGAAATGCAAAGTTGCTTGGAATATGGACTTTGCTAGGGGAACCTCACCTTTATGTCACCACTTCGACACCATGTTTCTCACAACACAGACTCTGGAACGCAAACAATTGTTGTCTATTTGTGTATGTGAGAAACATGGTGTCAAAGTGGGGTTCCCCTAGCTTTTTCTTGGAATATTAGGCTGTTTTGAATGGGGCAAATCTATAGTCACACCAAGTTTGACAGCATGGGTTTCACATACATGCACACATAATAACCGTTTGTGCGGCCAGATAGTGATGGTCATAGTGATTGTTTGTGCATGTATGTGAAACACATGGTGTCAAACTTGGTGTGACTATAGCATTGTCCATTTTGAGTGTATGTACACATTGGAAATGGAATATATAGATTGGAGCACAACATAAAAGGGTGATGGTGAGATCCGAGGGGAAGACCTATTTGTAGTTGTAAAAATATTCCAGAAGATGTGTAAGCAAGCTATTCTCTTGGTACATTTAATTCTCTTCATCAATTGATTCTCTGGTTGTCAAAATATTGATGTGAAGATGGAGTTTCATTTCATAGACAGATGGATATGTGAGAATAAAACTCAAGTATTGTTTTACACCTTAAAAGCACTTTAACTTACCCCAAGGGACAAGTATTTCCTGATTTTGGCATTGATGAGACACGATCCATGAGTTGAAAAACACGCCTACTTGCTCCTGCAGCTTTCATTGCTGCAGTGTATAATCCAGATAGTCCAGATATCGAGGATCCAACTGCAGAATTGGGTAAAATGCACAACATTATATACTGTGAATTAAGTTCTAAGAGCCATCAAAATTATAAATATAAGAAAAAATGGAAAAACACGGTGTCATTTTAGTAAATAAGTCAAACTTTTATACAGCTGCAAAAATGCATTGCCAAAATGTAAATGTGCATCTTGATGGTCTAAAAATGCACCATTCGCATTTCTTACTTACGTTAAGAGCATTCTCATGTGATCCACACCATGTGTTTATATATATATATATACTCCCTCCATCCAAAATTAAAGTTCCCACTTTCCTTTTTCGTCCATCCACAAAAAAACTTCCCATTTCTATTTTAGGAAAGTTTTTGCAAATGAAATGTCCTTTCTACCCTTAATTCTCTTCTTCCTCTCCCTTTCTTCTTTCTTTCTTTTTATTCTTTCTTCTACCATTTTTTTCCTTCTTCCGTTTTTTCTTTCTTTCTTTTTCTTCTTTTTCTCCATCTTCATTCTTTTTCTTTTTCTTATTCCTTCTTCTTCTTTCTTCTTCCCTCATCTCCTTCTTTATTTTTTCTTCCTTCTTCCGTCTTTTTCTTCTTTCTTCTTTCGTCTTCTTCCTCTTCTTCTTTCTTCTTCATTTTTTTATGTTTTTTCTTCCTTGTTTCGTCGGCTAGAAGAAGAAATTATTTTTAGATCTGCTTGCATCTTTGCCGGATCTAGATTTGAAGTGGCAATTTTTTTTTAATTTTTTCTAGATCTGTGGTGGGATTTTGATTTTCTTCCTCAATGAGAAGTCTGAAAATAGATCTTTGCGATGAAGAGGGTCAGCGACGGCGAGGGATGCGGGTCAGCAACGGTGAGGGATGCGGGTCGGCGACGGCGAGGATGCGGGTCGGCGACGGCGAGGGATGCGGGTAAGCAACGGCGAGGGATGCAGGTCAGCGACAACAAGAGGATGCCCGGGGCTGCGACGGTGGGGCGCCACGATGGCGGGGGCTTTCGACGGCGGGGGTTGCGGAAGCATCATCGGCAGTAGTGCTGAAGTGCCGGCGTCGGCAATGGTAGATGGCATCAGTCAGTGTGGGAGTACAAGTGTGGGAGTACAGGGGTGTACTGGGGCAGAAAGGATGAGGGGCATAATGGGAAAGTCAACACAATTTTCATTTCACATAAATTTGCGTACCAAGTCAAAGCGGGAATTTTAATTTTGGACGGAGAGAGTATATATATATATATATATATATATATATATATGGGATTGACTCCAGTGAGATGACACTTACGGTGAGATGACATGCTTCGGTGAGATGACGCAAAGCTCACCACATTACACTGCAAAGCTCACCAATGGCCAATGTAAAGCTCACTTGAAAATAAAGCAAAGCTCACCACTTTGAACACCAAAACTCACCTTTTTTTAATTTTGAAAATTAAAAAATTAATTAAAAATAAAATAGCAACATCGGTCAACCACCGGCAGCGGCAGCGGCACGGCGGAGACCGGCGGCGGCGGTCGGCGGCGGAGGTCGGCGGTGGCCGGTCAAAGGTCTCGATCAATGGTCAAAGTCTAGTCAGCACCCCTTCCTTTGATTTTATTTTTAAAAAAAAAAAATTCAAAGTGTTGAAAAAATATGGTGAGCTTTGCCTAACAATTTGGGGAGCTTTGTAATTGTCTTTGGTGAGCTTTGCAGTTGGCAATGGTGAGCTTTGCGTCATCTGATCGTAGCATGTCATCTCACCGTAAGGTGTCATCGACTGGAGTCAATCCCTATATGTGTGTGTGGGTACACACACACACACACTACACACTACACACTACACACTACACACTACCACACTACCACACTACACGCTACACGCTACATGCTACACGCTACACACATACACACATACACATACACACACACACACACACACACACACACATACATACATACATACATACATACATACATACATACATACATACATACATACATACATACATACATACATATATATATATATATATTGAGACATAAAGTGAATGATAGAGTTAGAGTTTACACACTAAACCGGACTTCAAACCATGTCCTTGGAGATTGTTTGAGACCATAAAGAGAACAACGGAGTTTACATACTAAACTGGAATCCTCCTGAACAACGAACCTTGGAGGATGCTATATCTACACCACCTAAATCATCATGAAGAAAGGCATTCTTAATGTCCACTAGAGTTAGGATCGCCACGATCATGCTTGTTGACATGGTTTAAGTAGATCAACCGTGAATTGGGTTCTTGAGCATGACTATGGTGAAATGNTACATACATACATACATACATACATACATACATATATATATATATATATTGAGACATAAAGTGAATGATAGAGTTAGAGTTTACACACTAAACCGGACTTCAAACCATGTCCTTGGAGATTGTTTGAGACCATAAAGAGAACAACGGAGTTTACATACTAAACTGGAATCCTCCTGAACAACGAACCTTGGAGGATGCTATATCTACACCACCTAAATCATCATGAAGAAAGGCATTCTTAATGTCCACTAGAGTTAGGATCGCCACGATCATGCTTGTTGACATGGTTTAAGTAGATCAACCGTGAATTGGGTTCTTGAGCATGACTATGGTGAAATGGGAACATTTCCGATATTGGGGTATTATTTATTAGGAGCAAACAGTCCCACACCGGACAAAAAGAAGAAGAATAACCAAAATAAAAGGTTCAACCCAAAAACATCCTAAATCCGCGAGGGCTTGGCTACAATACTTGATATATATCCGGGAGCATGCCCGAAGACTCTCCGTAGCCCGCCAAGGGAAAGACAGATCAGGGGAATAAAGCCCAAGTGTGGTGACATTAATTGGGTTGAAACTTCTCCATTTTCCTGTCTTAGAACCCAATCCAACACCATGGTTGTCCTACACCCACCCTAGGCTGAGCCCACACTCTCCATACCTTCCCTAAACATCCAAAATATTTCCTTTTCAAAATAAAGTTTTCCTACTCCTATTTTAGGCCCTGGCCGAAAATAAGAGTGTGTAAACCACAACCTTTGTTTGTTGTTATTTTCTTTCTTTTTAACCTTTTTAATAAACAAATAAAACCTTCTATCCTTTTCTATAAATCCCAAGCCAAATATCCCTCATTATCCCAACACAACATCAACCAAGATATTCCCCATTCTTGTCCCCTTTATGTTCCCTACTAGGGCTGAATAAACAACCACAAAAAGCCAAGGGACATTTGAGTTGTTGTTGATTCACCACCTACTAAATCAGTCACCTCATATGACCAAGAATATAAGGCCAATACACCATCCATCACCCATCTTTGTTTGTCCCCTCTTTTTAGCCAGAATATCTACCACAATCATCAAAGGATTTCATTCATTCTTTGTGATTTTTGCCTCCACAACAGGACAGACAAAGCCAGCTCCAAAGCCAAGACAAAGTCAAACAAAATCAGCCCTTATCAACTCAAGATTGGAAGCTAGTGAATGATAAAGGGATGTAGGAAGGTTCCTTGTATTTGCATTCATTATATTGTGTGTTTTCCCTCCTCTCCCCTCCTTATATATTTCGGCCATTTGGCCCTTGTAATGATCATCTCTGAATT